TAATTATATGTAAAACTTAATATTAATTGGTCTAATCTAATTAGGCCCAATTACATAATAATCCAGTTTGCTTAGGTGTGTGACCCTGTAGGATCGTATGATATTAGCAATAGGCTTTCAGGCCCATAAGCTATAARTGGTTTCTAGCAAAACATTATAACYACCTAATATGATAYGATTRTCTAACCTCGAYATTTCAACTKTAATAAGAGTAAAGTACAAATGATTTCAGGACATTCCCAACAATTTCATGATTTTGAAAGGAGAGTAACTACTCCATTGTTACTTAACTGTCCAATCCATCTACTGATTTCACAATCTCACGTTTTGCAGTTTTGACTCTCTTTTTTTTTAGCATTTCGAAACCTTCCAAGTCGACCAGAGACTATCAGATAACGATACGCATTTTCTGAATCAGAAGCATAGAGCTTGTTGGGCTTTTATCTGATTTTATCAAAAGCCCAAATTATGAAGAAAACCCTTTCCCTTTCTCTCTCTCTTAGACGATTACATTCCTTCCTCTTTTGTTCATTTGACATTGAAAAATGGCTTCGTCTGCGCCACAGGGATCTGTTGATCCTCTCACCGGTAAAGATCCGGCGAAGGCGTTAACTGCTGTAGCGTCTAGATTCTTCGATAATGTGAAGAAAAACAAGCAAAGCTTCTTTCAGTTGTTCGCCATGACTGGGATTTTGCTTTTTAGCTTCCGATCCTTAAGTCAGAAGTACCGAATTCACGATCTGGAGGAAGACACGGATGTTCTCAAGAAGGAGAGAGATAGTTTGACGGATCGTATGAGTAAAATCAAGAGCGATCTTCTTCATCAAGCGTCGATTGACTCTACCGGCGTCTTTGCTTCTCGACTCCGACTACTCTTCGGTGACGATAAAAAGTGATCGGAGATTAGTCGACAAGGTTACGATTTTCTTCTCACTTGTGCGAAATGTTATTGTAGTTCTAAACAGATGTCTCTGTCTGTAATGGCTCTGTCTTTTGGCAGGAAATTTTCCTCCTTTTTTTCTCTAGACTGGAAGGTATTAGCTAATGAATAAGTAGGATTTTTAAGGTGTTTGTGATACAGACAATGGTGTATCTTTATCTGAAATTATGCTTCGTGGAGTCATTTGTTTGTGCAAGTTACAAGGCTCTTAACTTCTTTCGAACAATTTGGAATTGCCCGTCTGAGGCATTTCATCGAACACTTTGAATGCGTTTTGAATTTTTGCCATAGACCTCTCAAAAGAGTTTCTTTTGAAGAATTTGGGGTTGTGAAGGGAGAAACTTTACACTAATGGGATATGTTTACGTTAAAACCCAACAGCCACATGAAGATTTCAATTCCGGAATTGAGAACTAGATTGGTAAGTGTCATGTGATTGCTTGGGTAAACACGTCTTGAACCAATCGATTCAATGTAGTGAAAAAATTTGGTGTTCGTGAGTATTTTATATGTAAAATATGGGACAAAATTTGGGATTTGATTCCAATTAGGTTATTCATCCGATGATCATTAATCCTTCATGTGCAAATAATCTAATCATGATAATATAGCCTGGTTATTTATCTAAAGGTGGATTTGGAGGGATAATAACAAGTTTTGGGTAAAGATTTCAACCTTTGTATTTATAACTAGTGTTCTAAAAAGCGTTCGCCTAAACGGCGCTAGGCCTCTATAGACCGTGGCGATTACCGCTTTTGTCGCCTAAAATAATATGATATTATAAAAATAAAATAATATAAATTTTCTTATATATAAATCGTAAAATTTTATATATTTGGATATAAAATGATGAATATAAATACAATATGAATTTTATTAGTTATAAATTTTGGTTTTTTATATATTTTGTTATATATATATAATATATTATGTATTTTTGTAAAACCCTTAGACCGCCTATTAAATCGTTTAGGCTCCGATTAGGCGTTCTAGGCACTAGGCATTGGGTCACCGCCCGCTTAGCGCCTAACGCTTTCTTGAACATTGTTTATAACACAGATGATTCTTAAATCCATTAAAATCTATTTTCAAATCAAATCTATGTTTAACTCTTTAATATTGAATAACACTTTG